AAAAAAAAAAAAAAAAAGGAAAAACCCACATAATTTTTATTGCTTTGGGGATGGTATGCGAATAGATGGTGAGAATGAAAAGCTGTCCTGAAGCCTGATGGGAGTTTAATCTCTTTTGATACCCTCAAAACTGTGTCAGCCCTTTCCATGAATATTTCATTGGCTTTTAAAAGGAAAATGATCATGATTCTAATACATCACCTGTTTTTAAAAAATGTTTTCAAAATAATTCTTTCATTCCTTCCCTACATCCTTCAACATTAGCTCACAGAAGTACTTTCAAGGTTAATAAAAGTGCTACATTAAGGGTTAATGAGTGCTATAAAGGTTTATAAGAGTCTGCATAAATCAAGAATTTGATATATTCTTTAGATGATAGTGGAAAAAAATTCTGTTCTGGTTTGTAATCAATGGATCATTGCAAAGAACATTGACTTCTATGTTCAATGTCACAAATGAACTACAAGTTCATGTATCATTCTGAGTGTACTCTGAGTTTTCCAGGAAAGGTGAAATTTAAAACATCTGTAACTGCTGTGTATATGCAAGTGACTAGATGGCTCATGGGATAGGACAATAAGATACTAACCATTTTCTCTTCATGTCAGTTGCTCACACTCAGCTGCCAATTGCCATTCAGAGAGCACTTGTGAGGAAGAATTTACTGTGTTTCCTAAACAAATAGCAGCTTTTCACAGCATGGAAAATTCTCCATGCCAACACATCAGTTGCTACCTTACTAACTTGCACAGATAATGAAAATAATCTAGAGAGGAACAATGAAAAGTATCTTTGTTTTATTGAGCTGTTGAACATTCTCAGTGAATAAACAGAAGGTATCTTGAATGGTGAGTTCCCTTGGTATTGAAGAAATCAGGTGCAGTACTGATGCAGAAGAAACTGCTGGGCAGGTTATCACTATTTCAGATTCTTTATTTATAACATTCTGATGTTACAAATCTGATTTCAGAACACTGTTTTAGTTTGTACCTTTGCTCAGGAGATGATAAAGAGATGACAGGCTAATATGTCTGACCCCTTTTGAGCTTTACCTTCAGTGCTTTTTTGGAAAATTTTTTTGGTTCTATTAAGGCAGCAAGGAAAGCCAAATTTCAGACAGACCCTCAGATTAAGTACCATATACTTTCTGTTTTTGTTGTGCGCTTGTTGTCAAGCATTGTCTGAGGTACAGAACGTGAACATGGCCTTCCATAGCCTCAGTCTCTTCTTTTCCTCTTTTTCCTTTTACTTTGACATTTAGACTTACCTTCAGAATATATCCCTTAGGGACAGAGATTGTCACATCATCGTATTCCTTTGCTGAGGCCTGAACTTTGCTACCTCCTTTTCCCTTTTTAAGGTTTCTTTCCCTGCTTCTTTTCCTTTATGTTTTTTGGGTTTCCTGTGGCTTCATCAAGTCCTCCCTCCCAGCATCTCCACAATTCTGCACAGCACATGAGTTTCTGTAAACAGTGCAGCTTGAAATGAGACAAAAAAATTCAGGCCTTAATTTCAAACTGGAGGCAGATGGTTTAGTAACTCACAAGTTGTTGTTTCAATACAGTGTTGTTTTTAAGCACAGTGAAAACTGCCTAGCAAGATGTCTTGAATTTTCTTACAGGTTGTGGACTCCCCATCCTTGGAGATGTTCAAGACTAGGCTGGATGGGGATCTAAGTAAACTGCTCTAGTGGAAGATTCCCTGCCCATGGCAGGGGATTTGGATCTAGGCGATCTTTAATCTCCATTTCAAGCCAAACACTTCTATGACTCTACTGCAGAGGAGGTGGAAATAAAAGTTGAATAGTGATATAGCAACACGTTTAGAATAACTAAGTTACCTTTGATGGCTGACTCTTCTGTCACATGGCTGCTGTAAGGCAAAAATCAGTGCAGGGCTAAGCAGAAGATGTCACTTTTCAGGTGGATCCATGCAGTCCAACAATGATCCAAGTAGCTGAAGTCCAACTCCTGGCTCTGCACAGCACCATCCCCAAGAGTCATACCCTGTGCCTGAGAGCATCATCCAAACCCATCTTGAGCTCTGGCAGCCTTGGAGCTGTGACCAGTGCCCTGGAGAGCCTGTTCTAGTGACCAGTCACCTTCTGGGTGAAGAACCTTTTCTCTCTTGTGCAGAGCTCCTAAGCAAAAGCAGCCTGTGGGCTCAGGATCATCAGGCCAGCAATGCCCTAAACCACTCAAGAGTTTGCTAAGGTGTGTACATAACATGCACTAACACTGGGCTTTCTTCTTCCTTTTCTGCTGCCCATCCAACCAGCAGCAGGTGTTCTGATAGTCAGGTCAGCTTACAGCATACCTTTGTGACTACAAATCGCCTCCAGAATGATGAGTTGCAGCTTCATGTTGTTTCAGAACAAGATTTTGGGAAGAGGGGTCACACTTGGCAGGTTTTCCATGTGTCACCTGATTTTACTGATACACTTGATGAACAGCTGACAAGTTTAGATAGAAGTTATGGCCATAATGCATTTATCTCAAGCAGCTGTCTATCAAATTGTGTTTAACTAGTCAAAGGAAGTGTATGTTAATCAACTTACAAAAAAATTTTGGTAGAATCTTATGTATAGTCACAAACATGTGGAGTTACTGTAGATAAACAATTTTTGAAACGATGTGCCACAGTGTATACATTAAAATACACAGCTACTTGCATCTTAATTACACAGGTTTCTGCTAAATGATTTTAAATTAGTGCAGGAAATGAGCATTTCAGCTACACCTTCCTAATTTAGTCTAAATTACTCTAGTCATTTCCTAACATACATTGTTTTATAATGCAACACAGAACTTTCCCAGAATTGGTAATTCACTCCATATAATTACAGTTACGCAGAAAAATTAGGCAAATTTAAATGGAAATAGTCCTTTTAAAATCCACTTATTAAAAAGTGACAGTGTATATAAATAATAGTTATTTTTCCAAGTCTATCACTTCATTAGTTTAAAAGCAAAAATCACAAATACAGCTGTTTCCATACACCTAAGCTGCTTAGATTGGACCATTTTATTTTAAATATTGTAAAGCCAGATCTGAAGGACACCATCCTCATAGGCTTTAAATACAAAAGCAGCAGACAAAGAACAGACTTTCTCAAGTCTGAGTGTGAGAAAACTGACAGTAACATATTTATGTGTAAAAGATGAATAAATACAAGAACTTAAAATTCAAAGCACCAGCAATCTCATACATAATTTTATTTTAATTTTTTTTTTATTAAGGATATAAAAGATTCAAATGTCAGAACTATAATGTCAGAACTGTTTATAATGTCAAGTGATCCATATTGCATATTCTTTCTATATTCCACTGATCAACCAGAACCTGGGATAATAATTGTAGATGATGAAGTATATTTCATGTGCAAATGGACACGGATTTGAAGTGAATTTGGAAGAAAAACTCTTTTGTATTGAAGTCTTAATAACTGTTTTGTTTAATCTGCACCATTCCTTGCATGAATTATTTTGCTTAATTCTGGTGTTTCTAAGAGTAATTACTGTGATGCCTGCAGGGCATTGTCAGGCAAGGAGAACTTATTCTTATGATGTAACATAGTAATTTGATAAAACTTGTTACAGACTTGAGAGAGAATCAATCCTGATAGAACCAGAAAGACCTATAGTTTTCCCTTTGCACACATTTCACGCCTTTCTATTTCAGCTCGTGGAGTTAGTCTTGTTATTTACAAAGTGAGGTTTTGCTTTGAGCCTGCTTTTCTAAAAAATGAAGAATATGTGATCATGCCCTCTGCAAATTCCTTCTTTGCTATCCTGACTACCACCTTCAGAGACGATTGCAAGCCAGTTCGACAGGAGGTAGAGATCTCAGAAAGACTTAGTTGCTAAAAGCTTTTACCCAGGTATTTGGGCAGGGCAAAAATACCTAAATTAGTCAGGGAAAGGCTGTCTGTTTTGCAGAAATGTGAATTACCTTATACCCTTACCTTTTGTCTCATGCAGCCATGGCAAAGAGCCCAGTGAAAACATTCTTTTTTTTCAAAGGAGGACACACAAGCCAAAGGACACAAATCTCTGGGAGTGATTACAAAATGATTGGGGTTTTGCTATTCTTTAAACTTCTAACTTTGATTTACAAAGACAACAGAATTTAATTCCAACACTTTTATAAAAGGTTAATTTGAAAGAACAGTGGCTGAGCCCTGGAAAAAACATCAAAATATCATATTATTTTAATTAATATATGTAATAAAATCAAGAGTAGTAGAGAGCTTGTTAAGGAGGATAAACATCTTGGGAATATTAAGATAACTGAAATGTTTCCCAGAGAACTTAATCCAGTTTTGAGTACTGATTAGAGCAAATGTTAGGTTAATACAAAGCGGGCTTTATTCTTAATTCATCCAGATAGAACAGAGTCCTACCTAAAAGTTTGTGTCCGCACTTTAGATAGTAGGTTAAAGAACACATTATTAAAAGAAAAAATATTATTAACTTTGTGTCTTCTAGAAAAGTTGCAGTTCGCGTTATTTCCATTATTTTATTGATCTGAACAGAAGAGAACGTGCTGTTTTCAGTTTGGATAGTGGTAATTTTCTTCATGGTAGCTGGTATGAGACTGTGTTTTGGATCTGTGACCAAAACAATATCGATAACACAAAGATGTTTTCATTACTGCTGAGAAGCACTTGCGCAGCGACAAGTCCTTTTCTGCCTCTCACCCCACCTCGCCAGCGGGTGGGCTGGGGGTGCACAAGGAGTTGTGAGGGGACAGAGCCAGGACAGCTGACCCCAGGTGACCACAGGGATGGTCCACACCATGTGGAATCACGCTGTGCATATAAAGCTGGGTGAGAAGAAGGAAGGGAGGGGATGTTCAAAGTGATGGCATTTGTCTTCTCAAGTCACCCTTATGCTCGATGGATCCACGTTTTCCATGGAGATGGCTGAACATCTGCCTGCCTGTAGGAAATAGTGAATGGATTCCTTGCTTTGCTTTGATTCCACACATTTTCTTTCCATATTAAACTGTCTTTATCTCAGCCCACACGTTTCACTCTTCCGGTTCTCTTCCCCATCCCACTAAGTGGAGTGAGCTAGCCAGGGTTTGATCACAACATGTTCATAGAGATCAAATAAGTTACTTTGACTGCATCAAATACCTTTTCTATTATATGCAGGCAAAAGTTGTTGGGTTTTTTTTCTTTTTTCTGTGGCTGCCACAGTCTTTAGCAAGGGAAGGAATAAAGAAAATAAAAGGAGATACATGAAGAGTGAAAATTGTTACTCCTGGAGAAGGCGGCTCAGTATTGCCCAGGCAGGCTTTGACAACATTAAGCTCTCTGAATATATCAAACATTATCTTCCTTGAAATGATGAAACAGACACCACCTCCATGACTGGATCCTTCAGACACTGTTTCTCCTGCCGTTCTGTATGACTTTGAGTACGTTGGAAAGGTCAAAACTTTTCGTAATCAATTCCATTAGGTCCTCGTCTTTTTCCACACCATTGATAAACTCTTCTAAAGTCAGTTCCCCTAAAAGGAAGTCAGATGCACTTTAGAAACTGAGAAACCCAGCAATCCCTCTTGTGAACAAAACACTATTCATGCCAGATTAAATCCCTTAGGAAAGCTGCTGATAGGCAAATGCAGGTAGGTATTTCCTAATGTTTTCTCACTTTGCATCAGTCAGATCCTAGAACTCAGACTCGTTTTTCTGTTAAATTATGTCAAACACAGCTTTCACTGAAGTCTGAGAGAATTAAAGCTGCTCATGAGTGTGTGTAAAGGGGCTCTAATGAAGCCTGTATCAGGGCTGAATTTAGATGTACTGTCCACTTCTCACTGAGCTAACTGGAATTTATCTTAGAGCTGGTTTTAGAAGAGATTAGGGTGTGATTTGCTAAGGATTAGTGGGTATAGTCCCTGTGTTGACTACTAGGATTATTTAGAGCCATGATCAGATATAGAAAAAAAAAAAAAAAAAAAAAAAATTAGCTAAGTACTTTGATAGATAAATTCTTCCAAGGAACTGAAATGGCCATTTAGAATGTGGGTTTTTGGGCTCATGTCAAAATCAGCTAATAACTTGGAAGTTTCAAGACAATAAAATGTCTTTTATTGAAGACTAGGAATATTGTTTAATGTTCTTCCTCTTTTCCTGCTCTTTTGCCTGTCAGCAAAGGGCAGTTTTAAAGCACGTGTCTGTTTGCATAGTACACAGAAGTGTACGCAGTTCTCTTTCTAGGGGTTATTGCAGTGATACTGTTTTACCTTGTGAGGAAAAATAAATATTGGTTTAATAAAAAGAGCCAGATTGTTTCCTCTGAGAATTGTTTAAATTTTCTTGTTAAATTCACAACAATGAATGATTTCATAATAACGTAAGAAATGACAAGGGCCAGCAAAGAGGAAAATAGCTGGATAAGTCAAGACCCCGGGGTGCAGGGGAGCAGCAGTTCAAGTCATGTGTATGTCTGGTGAATGCTTAGCATGCTGACTTTTGGCTGTTTTCAGGTTTAAGTACTCCCTGTAGGTTTTTTTTTTGTTTTTTTTTTGTTTGTTTTTTTTGTGTCTTGGTTTTTGTCCATGGCAGCCTTTGAAACTTCATCTGACATGAAAAAGGAAAATGAACGGCATTTGAAAAATGTGAAAACCACTTTCTAGCCATAGTCAGTAAAGTTTGCTTTCTGTTTGGTCACATATGTCCTTGCTACACTGGTGACAGGTTCATATAAAGTGGAAAGCCATCATTTGACAGAAATCCTGGGCTTTAGGCTTTAATGAAAGTACTAAGATCCTCTCCAGGAGCTGGCATGCAGAGCCCTGAGGAAGTTTGTACTTCTTTTTTCAATAACAGCATATATAATCATTCGACAAGCAGAATCAGAACAAGCCATCTCTACACTTGCATGCATCATCATGCTTTGTCACTCCTGCACTCATTTCCTTTGGACTCTCCTTCAATCCCTGGCACTCCTCTGAGTTCCCTTCTCCTTCCCTCTGTATTGCCTTTGACTCAGGTCTGTGGGTGGATGAGGTTCCTGGACTCATCACATGGACATGCTGCACCATTTTCCTGCTTATTCAGGTCAACTGGTCTTGGATTCCCTCCTCTTGGTCCCAAGCTGTGCATTTTGAGGTACCAATAGCAGGCATACAGACCACACTGCAGCTGCCAGATGAGATTGCACTGGCAGGCCCAGACTCACTGCTGCTGTGATGGGCCTCAGATTTCTGTGAGATAATGAAAATAAATTGCAAAACCAGCAGGAAATTTAAGAATTGTTCTTTACAACCCATGGAATTATTTATGGTATATTAATGTAAGGAAGGCCTTCGCAATTTATTTGTGTATTTGCACTTTTCTTTAATAAGCTGCAGGGAGGTAGCATAGTTGAAGCTTAACTTGATAAAACTTGGCCCATTCCTAAAGTCAAGCTAGTCCTATTGCTTTCCATCAATTTAAAAACTAAGAAACTATGGGAAACATTTTGAAACAAAGCCACTATGAAGATAATCCTGCATATGTCATGTTCCGGATTTTCCTTGCTAAAATGTATGACACAAATGATGGTCTAGCTCAGATAAAATTTTTACTTGCCAGCATGCATATGGTCAAAGCAGTGAATAACCACAGAATTTGGGTTAGATTTTGACTGTGTTATTTTGATTCCTTTCATAATTTGTCTTCACCCAAAGAGTGGGCCAAGGGGGTGGGTCAAAAAAATCCTCCACTAATGCATCCTCCACATGCATCACAAGATATCTCCTTATACTCTGATTATATATTGCAAACAACTTTTTTAAAAATAACCTCAATACACTCAATAATACCATAAAAATGCCCCTCCATCTGCCAAACTGACCAAAATTCCTGTCTGTGACCTGATTTTGCTCTTCTTTTCTTTCCTAATGCTCCTAATTTATCAGTGGTCACAGCAACTGTAAAACATAGTTGCCAGTGGAAGGAGTGTCTTCATGATTAGAAGTATGAGGGGGGACGTTCATCTGTAACAAATTTTCAATTGGAAACAACTCTGAAGCAGTGAAATGAAATGATAGTTTCCAAATGCAAGACCAATTGGCTTAATCTAGTATCTTGAGGAAAAAACAGGAGCAGGCATCTTAGCTCGTGTTGACAGTCAGCCTTCAAGGAACATCCAGGATGTCACCAGTCTTTAGAACCTGCTAGAGCATGTGCAACCGTGCATCCTATTTGGTGTTTTTAAAAGGATTTTAAATAGATGATACCAACACAAATATGTTACTCCCCCACCACAAATCACACTTTCATTTTGCTGTGCAACCTGAGAACTGGCATTTTGGATGAACAGTGCAGGACCTCTGTTTTAGCCCTTACTGCATGTAATTTCTTTTTCAGTTGGCTTACACTTCCCTGTAAAGCTGAAGAAAAAAAAGGGCAAAGAAGAACAGATTTGGCCTTTCTGTTATCTAAACCAGCCATCCCGCAGCTGCATGTTCAAATCCCTTCTTGCAGAGGGAGGCCCTTCCAATGCCAACAAAACCTAGATTCTTACCATCATTGTTCACATCTATCTTCTGAAATATCATGTTTGTGAACTCTTCAGCACTCATGTTGGTATAGCCATTAATGGCCTGGATAGCCTGAGGGCAGAAACACAGAAAGTTCTTTCAGAGTTTTTCACATCAAGTTGTGAAAACAGTACATTGGCAGAAGCAGCACTTGAAGTGCAACTCTTTAGTTCACAAACCCTTTCAAAAATCACTAAATAAATAGCTATTTCAAGTAAAACTTCAGTAATGAGGACTGGAAATTTAATTAACATAACACAGCCTGGAGATTACAGACTAATTTGCATATCTCTGCAGGTCTGAAGAACCACGTGGCACTTCTGCTCTGTAATACACTTTAGATTCCACATCAGCATTTTTATCTGGCCCTAGAGAGTTCTGTGCCTTCAGAGAGTGCCCTTTGGTCTGTGTGTTTTAAATGCAGTATTGTTTTTCCCAGCTGAAAGCACATGCAGAGAAAGCCTAAGTCATTTTTCTATTAAGACATGTTTAATTTAGTAATCATAAATAAAGTTAGACCATCAGTCCTGGAAGCTTACAGTTTACCTGTCCTCCAGAGAAGTTAAGAAAATCAATACCCTCTACTTTTTTATTTATTTATTTATTTATTTATTTTTTTTTTTTTGTAGAAGTACTCAATATTTGGAGTAAAGTGTAAATGTATGTTTTTGCAAAATTGTGTCCCATTGACTGGGAAAATATGTGTATATATAAACATGCATATACATTATATATTTGGCACAGTATATATCTGGTATTTCTGCACTTAAATTATCTTGAAGTGAGCTGTGTTGTGTAAGATAAATCACTGTATGTGTCACTTGTTTCTTTTGTTGTCTCGTTCCTATTAGTATATATATAATATAATATAATATGATATGATATGATATGATATGATATAATATAATATAATATAATATAATATAATATAATATAATATAATATAATATAATATAATATAATATAATATAATATAATATAATATAATATAATTAATATAATATAATATCCTCATATTTTAAAACAATCTAAGTTAAACTTATTTAGCATTGATATGGAATTCTTGAATTCTTGAATGCCCCCTCCAAATGCCCCAGATTCCTGTCTGTTTCAAAAAGCAGCAATAATTTTACAAAAAATTGTTACATAAACCTGTTTCTGTTACTAGTTCGTACTTTTGGTGTTTTATATGTCTGACCCTCCTGCAGTCTCCACCATAAAGTTGTTTCCCTTCCACAGTTAAATTTATTGCAGTGCCAAGTGTAAAGCAGTGGTTCCTGAAGTATTTGAGTCCCTGACTAGCACAGAAGGCCCTTAAATAGTAAAATACTGGGTATTGAAAGGGTGCATGGTTATCTGGAAGGAATTTTGATGGTTGGTAGTGATGTGCTGGTCCATAGTCTGCATAGCTGTAGAGACAGATTTCAGTTTAATAGCACTTCTGTGTTTCTAAATTAATGTCTCAGATATGACATATCTTTTTGCACAAGCTCTTGTTTACTGATGCTTATTTTAAGCTGGGCACTCCTTAATGTCTGCGAGCATGTTTGTTCTTTTTTTCTTTTAGGGCCCACCATTTTTAATCTAGTCTAGGTCAATGACTTAGGCAGGTTTAACTTAAAGTCCTTATACTCCAAAATAGATGAAAACACACAGAGGTCTAAACTGGTTTTAAAACCATGTAAGTTAAAAAATAAATATTCTTTACATTGAAAGGATTTTAATATTAACTCTCATTTTGGATAAAGCCCCAGACTGTTGATTCATTGGCTCTGGGTGAAAATTAATGGAGAATATTTGTGAAAGAAAGATTTCATTAGTCTCAAAGGATAAATCTGGAAGATTCAGCCTCTCCTTCTACTTTTAGAAAGCTGCTCTTTATGTGATCAGCTTTATTTGTTTGACCCAGTAGCTCCATCTGGCTGCAGTTCCTTTCAGTTTTGGCAGCAGCTGTTTAAAGTCCCTAACAGTGACTGGTTTGGCACCAGCAGTAATGCAGAATCCAGGAAAAGTACGTTCCTTGTTATGATATTAAAACTCTATTTAGGTTTAATGCTTCCTGCGGCAAAACTTTGATCTGTAGTGAGTCCTGTACATTTAGGGAGCAGTATTGAGTCATATATAATTGTAAGGAACACTAACATTCCTTTTGGATGAAAGCAGCTAATGAAGAGCACAAAGTTATTTCATTAGAGCAAGTTGAAAATTATGAAGATAATTTTAAAGAAAGAATTGCACTTCTTTGGTTTTATGGGTTTGAAATGGACCCATTTTCTGCAAAATTTTGAAAGTATTTTTATCCAAATGTCACTACATGATTTAATAGTAAAATTATATTTCTATGATTTAGTTTTAAAACAGGGGTAATGGCATTTGTAGCAAACAAATCTAAAAGCCTTTCAAAAATTAAAATATTGTAATATTTTGATGACAGCTATATTTTTCTTGCTGCAAGTTCAGTTTGAGAAGCCTGTTTTCCATGATAGACTGGCACATATATTTGTAACCATCTGTTTTGTTCGTGATGCTGCTACAGTTCTACCCTGCCTTATAGTATAGTTTATCACAGTAATGTTTCCACTGTTTCTACAGTACTTCACTATTTTATGTACAGAACTATGGTTTAAAGTAAAACACTACTTAGATGTGTTCAATAAGGAAAAAACTAATGTCAGGAGTGTCACTACTAGCCACTGTTAATTCTGGTTTTACAACCATAGAACATTAGATGAAGTACTGACAATCCATTTACAGCACATGACGAACCACTGTTTCAGGAGCAATGCACTGTATCAAATGCTCTTGCTATTGATCATAACTTTCTTACCCTGAATATGCTTAATAGTTCCTTTTTGTCAATGCATCCGTTTCCATCAGCATCGTATAGCTTGAAATACCATTTCAATTTTTGGTCAATTTTCCCTCGTATAACCAAATTTATGGCAGCTATGAACTCCAAGAAGTCTATAAATCCGTCCTAAGAGAGAGAGAGAGGGAAAGAAAAAACACACTTATTTAACAACATTTGTTTTCTGTTCTTTCTGGCAGTTGCACAAAACAGGTCATCAAATTCCCCACAATGCACATTGATTTATGAAGCACCTTAACATAGAAATCTTCTATGGTATTAAAAAAGGATAAAAGGATGCACTCAACTGGAAGAGCTATAGGAAGAGGCGTTAGGAAGGACAGTTTTGCTCTCTCTTGAAATTCTGGGAGATGTGGAGGTGAGGGGCAAATCTGTTCTGAGAAATTTTTACTGACAGTTTTTAAGAGGTAAAGAAAAAAAATTTGTTTCTTTAAGAAAGTTTAAGAAAAGTTTTTTAAGAGAAAAGTTTTTTTAAGGAAGTTTCTTTAAGAGACTGCCACGTGAAACAGAGGAGTTTGGGATATATGGTATGGTACTAATGAGATATCTACAGTAGAGTTGTTTACATCTAGACTGCAGAACTGTGTATGATTTCCAGTGCCACAGAGCTGTTCCAGGTGTTATTCATCTGAGAGATCATGTAATAAGTATTTTAAAATTGTAACCAACACTCTGGCATGAACCCTAAATACTGTGGTTTACCCAAATAAAAATCAAGTCTCTGTGATGAACATTTTGCATGGGATATAAAGCCTTCAAGGTATAAACCAGTCTCTAAATATTGAGGATTAGGGATATTCACAGGAAGGGAGCATTTCAGGTTGATTTGATTCATTATTTTCTTAGTGCTTTGCTCGAGCTACTGATAGAAGCCTGTCAAGGGCAGGCCTCCATAGTCAGATTCTTCTGTTTCAGTAAAAAATGTGGTTAGGATGTAAGAAACAGTTGCTGAATTTGGAGCATACTTGCTCCAACTGTTTCTTATGTGCATACAAAAAGAATTAACAGCTGGTAAATTTAGTCTTGTGATCAGAATCCAATTGGTCAGAATCCAATTGCTCAGAAGACTTTGGAAAGACTTGTCAGTTTCAGATGGCCTTTGACTGAAAAGAGAAGGTTGCATGAGTATCCAGTAGCTTTAGCAAGTTACTCAGTTTTATTGTCATATATCAACAGAGATCTTGCTAGTTGAGGTTTACAGCAGGCATTAATCGGTCCTCAGTATTGTGCTACAGGAAAAGAAGACCTGTAAGGATGCAGTGTGACTCGTTGCCAAAATCAGAATCAGGATCCTAAAAGCATTTAGGTTGGAAAGACAGGTCATCAGGTCCAGCAGTTAACCCAGAACTGCCAAGTCCTGTGTCCCTAAGTGACACACCTTAGGTGTCTTTTGAAGACCTCCTGGCACTATCAGTATATTTTTGTGATAAAGAACCAAACATGTGAGCGTGCAAAGAAAGATGACAAACAGGAATTTATAAGGGCTAGAAGATACTGAAATTGAGAACTCTGCTGACCAGCCTTCCATTGAAAACAAACTAAAATGTCAAAAACCATCCCCACACATCTACCTGCCTAGATTCAATCACAGCAGATTGTAGAAGTGAATGTGGGTTATCAAAGACTGGATATATTTCTTTAAATAAGAGATAAGAGTCCATCCTCTTTTTTTTTTCTTTTTTTTTCTTTTTTTTTTTTTTTTTTTTTTTTTTTTTTTTTTTATTCTCCTTTTAGATTCCTCACAATTGTGCCCTCATGATGCTGATCTGGGTCAGAGCTCCTGGGAATCCCTTGTAGTGCTTTTGATTTCTGTGCAAGGCTGATCAGCAGAGTGGCACCTAAGAGATAAATCAAATGTATTCAAACACATTGGATTCAGCCTTCATGCAGAAATGGTGTGTGCATAAGTCATGCAGACTGACCATTGCTCCACAGGCCCTCTGCAGGTTCTCTGGTGATTTCTTGTTTTACTCTAGTAGCAATCACAACCAAATGCAGCAAAGACACTATTCAACCACTGTTTAAGATTAGATTAAATTTGACAGTAACTACATATAATTTTCAAACAAAATTAGGCCCAGTATTAAAAGCAGATGCTTAACCAAAAATGACATATCACGCACTACAAACTTAATCTTCTTTTTGGCACATGGGCTTAAATTTCCATTCTGCAAGTATTATTTCAAGAAGGATCTCATAAAGTATTTTACTGGAAGTCAAAATGTATTTTGCTGATTGCATTTCCAATCTGATCTGATATATCTATTAAGAATGTGGTTAAATGCATTTCACATTGCTGCTTTTTTACTGCATTTCATACTGCTTATTCCAACTACAGATTAATTTTAGGATTGCTGGATGTCCATGAACAGATTAATTTTCTTCTTTCTCCCTTGCATTTCACTTGAGATTTTGGAAAATATTATTTTGTTTGCTTTCTTTCTGCATCTTGGTGTCACTGTTGTTGGTCTGACAAAACATCAGAAGTTTGGACAATGTAATAACCAGTGTAATGTGTTGGGCTATGTAATTCTGATCTGGGGGATTATATGGTCCATCCCAAACAGGAAGAGATTGAACTCCAGGGTCAAAAGTCTTCCACCTCTGAAAAAAACCTGGGAGAAATTGTACTTGTCAGGAAAGCTCTTGCCACTTCCTGCAGTTGTGCCAAAATGACTGGTGACATGGTAGCCAGCAGCTGGTCTCTGTTTCTCAGGAACAGAATCTACTGAGAAGGTAGACATGTTTGTCTACATGATGTCGAGCCAGAAGCATTTCATAAAAACATTGATGAGAAATGTTTTTCTTTCTACACCAAAAAAACCCCATTGAAGGTAAAAAAGAAAACATTTATGGGATGCAGAAGGCTACAGTGATCTTGTTGCACATATACAGAACTTTCTGAGATAAATATGGCACTTTTTACAGTAGCATCTCAAAACACAACATTAAACAGTGAAAAACATCATAACAGTAACCTAGAAAGATCATCCTGTGGTTCTGTGAGTACAACAAAGAATACAATAAATGTGTTATGATGTTATTAAAAGAATACTGCAGTGCTGATTTACCCATCTGCTGCTCTATAATCATTCTCAATACAAGTACCTAGGTAGGTGTTTTGTGTCTCTGGGTTCTGTAAAACACCTCTCTGCAGCATGCACAGCAATGTATCTGTTGCCTCTTAGGAAGTCATTAATTCATAAGCAAAAGGCTACTGTAAGAATAAAAACATAAATTTTTAAATAATGCCCAACAACATAATAATCAGAGCTGATTACGAATGGTGGAAGCTATAAATTATTTACTTTTGGTGTTTAACTCTGTAATCGTCAAATATTTGTAATATTTTTATTAAATGGAATTAATGCTATGGAAATCTTCTTAGGATACAAGACAAATTTGGGGACGTGAAGGTTTCTTTTCCATGTCTGTATGGTGCTGGCTCTGCCTTCCTTGTCTGCAGCAGATTGCCATGGGCACGTGTGGGATGGTGAAGTCCTGCACCCTCCCCTGCCCAAATGAACAGAGGCACAAGGAGTCAGTTCACAGGGTACCCTTCTGGGTATGGTGTAAAACAGAGGGACAGAGCTCTCCTAATGTGGTTCTGAGGAGTGGGCTGGAGACATACCAAAAAAATGGGTTCAGAACTTATTTTACATGTCCCAAAGTCTTCTGTGTTTCTATACATAGTAAGCTTCATAAAAATGTAGGCCCATTTTTATTCTTTTAGCAGTTTGACTGGATGAACAAGAAGTTTAAGGACACATTAGGGTCATTCACGTGTTTGTGCCCTTTGATACTGTGCTTTTGCTTTTGCTGATGAGTGATTTTTTTTAAGCCACTTGCAACAGATTGATTCACACAACAGAGACAAAAGGAGGTTCCAAAAATGGAAGGAGAACTTGCTGATGGTATGAAATTGGTCCTCAGGGCACTCCCATCTGTGACTGCCTAGGGTCCAGAGCCCATTTCAGTTTTTCATTAGCTACTGGATCTCCTGAGGAGAAAGAAATTTAATAAATTTAATTTTGTCCTTTTATGAGAGGTTTTTGCTTCAGGCTGTCAGTCCATGTACCTTTACTGGAGGCTGCTCACCATTATTTGGTGAGGACAGAGATGTGTGTCCCCTGGGGCAAAGCTGGGCAGTGAGGGACTGCCACATTATACAATGGCCATTAATACCCCAGCCCTGGAGCTGTAGGAGGGCATTATCCTTTGGCTCCCAGAACAGCGCTGCTAATCTTCACAGATCCTTAAAAAACTCTTAGGACTTCAAACTATAGAGATTAAAAATAATTGACTTGTCAGCTATGAATACACAGCTCATCTGAAACAGCATGGTTATCCAAGGTTGTGCCAGAGTGGTTTGAACTTGGTGTTTTGGCTGCCTAGCTCTTCCCTGGGAGTGATTTCCTGGAAGTGACAGGGATCCCCTACAGGGATAGTCAGCCACCTCACAACACATGCTGTGGCCACACATGTGGAAAGGGACAGTTTCTGGCCCTGAAAACCCTGTGGTGAATAACTCATCATCTTAAGTGGACCACTGTGGGCTCTACCAAGACTCTATACACAATAAGCAGTGCATTGTTTCCAAAACTTGCTCATGAAAAATTTCTAAATTCAATCTAACTGCAGAAGAACAGATCAAATTGTTTATCAGGATTAATAAGTGTTCAAACATAGATGGTCCAGGTATTTCAAACCTAGGGCTTAGGTCATTAAGCCACCTTCTTTCCCAACCGCCTGTCTTTCAGAATAGTCCTTAAACCTCTTAAGGCAGAGGGAGGAGGCATGGGTCCAACAGCTCAGAATAACTGTGAAATTTATAGCTAATCCTATGTGCTTCTTTCTTTCCTTCTCTCTGGGTCCAATTTCAAATATAGTACTGCTTTCTCTGTCCTCAGATACCTAAAGGAGGATTCATTTCACTCCGTTTCTTCTTCCCCCATTTCATGGACTCAGAGAATGATAGAATCATGTAGAGTGGAAAAGGCCTCAAAGATCATCAAGTCTAATCATCCTTGGCTTGTTTTTGCTTCTGAGTATTTTCATCAGTTCCTCGAAGGTTGCATATGCAATTATTGAAGAAATAAAGAGCTACT